CCCTGGACCCAACGGAGAGACAGCGAAGCCGGTGCGGTCCGGGCAGGTCCGTGGGGCAGCACGGAGGAGCGAGCTGCACCCAGGCTCAGCCTGCAAGGCAGGGCAGGTTGCCAGCCCATGCCGGAGCCCTTCACCGCCCTGCCTCTCCTTGTCCACAAGCAAAGACGAGGTATTAAACACAGACCTCTGCAAGGTATTTTGAAACTTACTACAAAAGTTGCTCTTCGGCAAGCAGAGTTTAATCACGCTGACTGATCACAGGCAGAGCAAGGAGGCAAGTCACTTGAAATACCCTCTCTGCACGCAGACTGTTACTGCAGAGCAACATTAAGCGGCAGCTATTGCCTATCTATCTGCACAGCGTGGGCACTATAGGCTTTTTAAGCTTGTCGGCCAGGCAGCAGATGGCCCTTGAGATGTCTGTACCACAAAAGGAGTGTCTGGAGGCTTGCGGGCTACGCAGCCCCTGGTCAGGGCTCCTGGCGGCACTGCTTTTGCTTGCCCGCACCCCATGCCACAGACACGAACACGCTCTGGCCTTTCCTCTTCTTCTGGATAAACCACCGGTGCTGCTTTTATTTTTCTCATTACCGAAAAGCCCTCTCTCACCTCATTCCCAAGAGGAAGGCGCAGGCAGCAGAAGGAAGCCGGGGCGCTGGGCAGCCAAGCTATACATACAAGCAGTCCCAGTTCAGAAAGGGAATCGGTTCCTCGTTCCCCTCCACACCCTGCGTACATGTACGGCTGCCGAGGAAAACACAGCCAAACGATTGCACGGTAACCCAAGAAACCCATTCAGGTTGCCTCGGCTTAGAAAGAAATACCTGTGCAGAAAAGGGTGTGTAACAGAGCAGAGGCCAAAAACGTTAATATGTAACTGTAAGAAGGAGTTTTGTGAGGTAAGTACTCCGGCTCCCTTTTAATTGTCTTTAATAGTTAATTGATATTATAATGAACATCAATTTAAAGCAACAAACTGAAAGGAAGCACATAAAGGACACAAAGTTATGCCCAAATATCTCAATCTAAACTACAGCTTTTTTTTTATCTGGTACTATTAGAGGATGCAGTGGAAGCCGACATTCGTTTAACAGGTTTTGCAGAGGCAAATTATCTCAGAAGATACCATTTTACATTTTGTTTATTAAGAAATTCTGCGGGCACTGCCTGTACTTGGAGCAGCGTGCTGCATGGTCCGCTTTAAGGAACAGAGAATATACTTTTTTAAATTAACTTTAAAGCCATTTTTTAAATTCAGCTTTATAAATTGGGAAAAAAAAAAAGTTATTCTTAAAAAACTGTAAAGCTCAATGACTAAGTTTCTAACCCAGAGAACTTATTTATTAGCAAGGGGAGCTACTCCTGGTTGTGTCTGGCTATATTTTTTTCTTTGTAGCTTCAGTATCCCCCATTTCAGATACTTGGCTGACCTCAACTGAAGCAGGCACAAGCAGCATTACCCCTGGTATTGGTCTTCAACGTCTTTTGGAATAAGGAGAGCCAAGGGCCACAAACATTTCCACTCCAAGCCTGCTTTATCTACATAATGTTAACTTGATGGAAAGTACAGCAGCACTCGTACTTCCACCATGGTTCTGGTCATTTCCAGTAATAGCCCATTTTAATGGCATCATCTTTTGGACTGAAAAGGGAAGGGAGCGGGGTGAAGGGAATTGGCAACCCTCACGTATCAGTGGTAGAAACATTTAAGGTTTTATTATTGATCATAATGCTGCATAAAATACCAAGGCTACACGGTACAAACGAAGGGTCTTAAGAAAAGCATTAAACCCACCAAAAATGTAGAACCTCAAGCCTAAAAATACTTGAGCCGCAGAGAGAGGAGGCAGCACCGCCAGCCACAGACCACAGCACTCCGCAGGCACAGACTGATAAGAGGCTTAAAAATCACGAGTACGTGACAGCGCTGTTCCCCGGGGAGCCGCTGCGGGCTGGCACGGGCAGGTGAACCGTGACGCACAGGTACACGGGCACCTACACCGAGGAATTACAAAGCTCAGGCTCCAGCTCCTAAAATCCCTTTGGTACAAAGCTGCTCCGCCGCACTAAATTGCTTTTTAAAGCTCTGATCCGCTGCGGACAGTTGTTAGGGACAGATACTAAGTAACTCGCTAGTTACCACAACTTTAGCCTTCAGACTTCAGTAATTTAAGACTTTCTGAAATTATGGTTTACTAAATCTATATATGGAGTTCAAACTAAAAAGTTCACTGCAAAGCCTTCATTTAGTCTCCTTTAAGTGTGGTTCTGGAAGGAGCTGGCAGGTCATCCTATAATGCGGACGCAGACACAGCATTTAAAGTATTTAAAAGCCATTCAAACAGCCTGTACACTGTGAAACATGCCTGGAAGAAAATACCTGTTCTGCTTCTAAACTGAATTTCCCATTCCTGCAGGACTTCCAGGTCCACTTGTCAACCATTATCAGCTCCCTTTTACGGTCCAGCAAACCACCTTTCTCCCACAAAACCTACGGAATGGGAATGCAGGCTATTTCGGCACAGTCCCAACCAAGTGAACTTTTATTGTTTGTTTTCAGCACGTAGCTGATGAGGACCTGAACCAGGCCAGTGCTGATTAAAAGAAGCCACCTGCCTGCATCTGCTCCGTTAGTAGATGCAGAGCCCTGGTTTGCAAGGAAACTTTCCAGCAGAACTGGTAGAAATGCTGGGCTCCAAG